ATTTTTTTATTTTATTTTTTATTTTTCATTTTTTCAGTTTATTTTAAATATATTTTATCTTTACAACATTTTTAAAATTTAATGGCATTGCTTATATGTAGACAATTATTTTATTTATATTAATTTATTTTAATTTGAATCAATTTATTTACATTTATTTATATATATCAATTTAAATTTTTTAAGCAGTGGTAAATAAATTCCACATCATTGAAAGATTTCATCAGTGGCTGCTGGTCCTCTCTGTTCCCAGACAGTTCTCAGAACTGTAATGTAATAAGTGTCATTCAAACAAATCTTACCTACGTGGATCAAACTGACCGTCTCCTGTTCCTCTTGTCAACAGGAGGAGGTAAAGTTCGGAGGCATGACCATGGCCCTGCCTGTAGAGCTGAGCTGCCTGCAGGGCGGCGCCGGCGGAGCAGAACGAGAGGCAGCCCTGGCAACCCTGGAGAAACAGCTGATCTGCCCCATCTGCCTGGAACTGTTCACCAAGCCGGTGGTCATTCTGCCCTGCCAGCACAACCTGTGCAGGAAGTGTGCCAATGAGCTGTACCAGGTGTGTGTCACTGTGTGAACTGGTGTTACAGAAGTTGTGGGGACACAATATCTGTCTGGGGATCTTTTGTATTTCGGGGACAAAACTGAGTGGATACTAAAACTATTGTTTTTCATCTGGACATCAATGACAATATATGAGTCTGGTCTATATTTGTGTGCAGACGTGTGTGGTCTGCATGTGCATGTGCTGCTGCATCTGTGTTCAGTGGATTATCAGTGTCTAAAAATGAGATGCAGGGATGTACAACTGGTTTAGTCACTGACATGGAAAAACCAACTGACCCACATTCACTGCCATTGTTTAGACCAGGATCACAACGAGTGTCTGTCATTGTTTTAAGGACTGATATTTGTCGATCTTGACGACTGAGTGAACGTTTGTGTTCTGTATGTGTGTGCGTATGTACAGTAACTGAGGCTAAGAGGGAGAGAGAGAGAGAGAGAGAGAGCATGTGTGCATGTACTCATGTTTTTTACTGCCTTGGTATTTGAGATGGAAACAAACTTCAAACCTTCTCTGCTGCTCATGACCTTTGACCTCGGTGCACCTTAAACCCAATAACTTAACATGTGTCGATGTTCACACCTAGAGTCCAAACTATACGTTGCACTTTTTTCATCCTTTGGCTGGGTTTGTAACTTATACTCAAGTGCGACTTATATATTAAAATATATAATTTCACATGTTCTCTAGCTAGCTGGTGCGACTTATATACTCCGGAGCAACTTATAGCCCGGAAAATACAATACACCAAAACTGCAAAAATCATCAAACTGACTCATCTGTCATAATAACTATCTATTGCTTTTGAATATTTCTGGACATCAAATCATCTTTAATGATGTAATTTAGCTCAAATAATGAAATGATTCCTCACAGTAGCTCTAATGCTGTTTGTCAAATAGTACATTTACCTAGTGATTCTAGAACCGTTGTCGACCGAGGCTGAACCAAATCAATCCGTGTTTCTGCTGGTACTCAGTGTTTGTCTGTGCCCAGCTGTGACTCCTCACACAGGCCCAGCAGCAGCTGAGGCTTATTACAGCTGCTATTTCAGGAAACATCCATACTTCCTCTCATTCATCTCCTCATTAGATCCTCTCCTCACTTGACTGATTCCTCTGACATTTCTGCCCTCAATTCCCACTTTGTTTCCCCTGCTTTTTGTTAACTGTAGCAGCTTCTTTGTGTAGCTTTTACTTCAAGATAACGTTGAGTATTTTCTTTTGTTTTTTGGCAAAATCTAGAAAATGTTTGGTTACGGTGTAATTACTGATTTATGGAATTGATTTAAATTTAGATAACAGACAGGACAGTTTGTCACAGTATTATTTGTGCTGTAGGGTTTACAGCCAGTTAGCCATTGCTACATTTATTGCTACATTCTTAGCACCAGTTATCTTTTCTTTGCCCATTTTTATTACCTTTAAAAATGTAGTTTGTTTGAATTTTTTTTATTACTCGACTAACTTCTAAATATCATTTTATTATGTTGTTGTTTTTCAGCGTCTAAGATTAGGCACAGAGTCGCTGCTAGATTAAATCCCTTAATAACGGGATATAATCTGCGATGTAAAGGGATGTAATCATCCCTGGACAAAGGGATATAATCTGGTAGATTTGTTTTCTTTTATTCTACATCCTTTGTACATCCTCAGTAGTAGTGTATTAGTTAAGCTTTAAATCTAGTACTAAAATGTTATGAACACCAAAAAGACCTGGATCCCTATGTTTGAGTAAACATTTCCAAAATATGCCATCACGAAGTTGGACAACAAGTTTATCCCCCTAGTGGCTATAAAACTTACAGCTGCGCAATGATGAAATCCCTGTTTACAGTTCATCTGACTGGAAAACAAACTCCAACTGTTGTGTGTGAAAAGTCAGACTGACGTCCACAGCTGATGACCCGGCGTCAAAGTCTCACTGGTCCAGTAACTCCAGACTCTGTTGTTGTTATTTTTCGCAGCCGTCACTGTTCCAGGCTCGGACCACTATGCTGGTGAACAGTGGGCGTTTCCGATGTCCGTCCTGCAGACATGAGGTGGTGCTGGATCGCCACGGTGTCTACGGCCTTCAGCGAAACCTGCTGGTGGAGAACATCATTGACATCTACAAACAGGAAGTCAGCAACGGCACCAATGCAAGGTAAGTGTGAATGCACTCCAGGTTAGTGACGCTCCTGAGTGGAGGTCCTGGTGCAGCACAGTGAGGTGTCCAATTCTTCCTCCTCTGCAGCCCCCTTCCTCTTCCACCTCCTCCTCCTCCTCCTGCATATGTGACATGTTCGGAGCATGAAGGTGAGAAGGTGAACATCTACTGCGTCACCTGTCAGGTTCCCACCTGCTCTCTCTGTAAAGTGTTTGGCGCCCATCAGTCTTGTAAGGTGGCTCCTCTCACAGACGTCTACAAGGAGCACAAGGTAACGCGACGTCTCCTACTGCCAACTGTAACTACCGTATTTTCTGGAGTATAAGTCGCACCAGTGCCCTCTAGCGGCTGTAGGTGTGAAAATAACAAACATGTGACATTATATATTTTAATTAATAGCCGCACCTGAGTATAAGTCGCAAACCTGGCCAAAGGATGAAAAGTGCGATTTATAGTCCGGAAAATACAGTACTCTCACCTTCACCTTCTGTTACATAATATATTTTTCTTCATTGTGTTAATAAAAAGCTTGAAATAAATATATTATTAAATGAAACCATTCTGTGTCGATACCACAGGATGAGCTGAATGAAGGCATCGGTTCTCTGGTGGGGGTCAACGACAGAATAAAGGACTTGATCAGCGAGCTGGAGGAGACCATCCGAAACATAGAGGTGTGGTTTTTTGCAGTACTTGTTTATGGTGTTTATGATGTGGTGACTCTGATGCTACAGCTGATATGAACTACATTATCCTGTCAACAGGAAAACTGCAAGGCCCAGAAACAGAGTGTGTGTGATTCGTTCAACAACATGATGTCCATCCTGGGAGAGAGACAGAAGGTCAGGGCTGGTTGTCGTCTCGTTCACCTCACTTTGTTGTCCTAGTACTGTACAACAGACATACATAATAGATGCTGTCTGGTGTGAAGTACAAGTAGGTAGTTTGTAGTACTCATCTAGACGACTGTGTATTGTCATTGTTGTCATTTTTTTCTTTACCTCAAAGGCCATGACGCAGCAAATCAGCTCTGAGGAGGAGGAGAAGACGAGTCACATCCAGGCACTGATGCACTGCTACAGTGAGAGTGTGGAGACCAACAATAAACTCATGGAAAAAGCAGCGAGCAGCATGGAGGAGCCAGACATGGCTGCGTTTGTCCAGGTGGGGGGTGGGGGGTGGGGGGGGTGCTTCTTACAGTCTGTGTTTTATCACTATCACAGTATTTATACAATTGTCTCATATTTACATTTTCCTTCTTCCAGAGTTCTGGAGAGCTGATTACAAAGTGAGTATTTATGTAACTCCCTACAGGTGATTGACTTTTACCAAAATAAAGTGTATTTTTAATGTTTATTTATTTACTAGTAGTTTTAATATCCCATTATATTGTTGTTGTTTTTTTTGCTTCCTCCGTTTCCTCATGTACATTCTTTGCTCCCTGTTCCCTGTTTTTTTCTCACGTTCCTTGGCTTCAGCGTTGTAGCAGCAAACAGCTCCTGCCCAACGGAGAAACTAGAACCAGGCTATGAGAACCTGAAACCTTACACCTTTAACTTCGACAGCCAGGAGAGAGCTCTGAGGAGCGTAGACTTTCTCAAAGGTAGGAAACCTACGTCTGTGGGACACAAACTGGAAAACGTTCTTTACTGTACAGGAACTACCAAACAATATTTGTATTCATCTCTAAAATTTTTCTTTTTTCTAAACTTCATATTGTTATTTTTAATTTTTTTTCTTTCCTTTGTGTGTTTACGACTGAACCGTTAAGTCACCTGCCAGGAGCAGGAGTGTGGATCAAACATTCACCAGTTAACTTCATTTCCTGTTAATGATTTCAGCTCCATAATCAGTCGGTGCTAAAAATAAATGGTTGCTACAGGAAGTGAAGTCTCCGTGTAGAAAAGTTATTATTTGAATTATCTGAGTAAAATTAATCTGAATAAATATCATAATGTTATTGAAGTATCAAATAAACTATACATAAAATGATACATCATTTATATATATTTATATTGTAATTAATAAATATTAAACAACATTTTGTTGACAAAAACACGACTTTGCTTGAACTGTTTTTTGTCTTCCGTCTCTCCTCAGCTGTGGTGGATTCACCTGAAGAACCAGAGCCAGAAGAACCCAGTGAGTCATGTGAACAGAACAAAGAACCAGAGCATAATCAGGAAATATTTACACAGCATCTGGGATCGGATCTAAAACCTTTACAAGAGACAATTCCAGAAGACCACACGTCCACCCTGTGTCCACCAGCTCAGGACATCCTTACAGACTCTGCAGAACCTGCAGAGACACAGCTGGAAACTGAGACCGATGAGGCAGAGGTGAATGATGAAGAGTTGGATGAGAACACTGAAGAGGAAGAAGAGCAGGAGGAGGAAGAAGATGAAGAAGAAGAAGAAGCAGAGGAGGAGACGGAGCAGAAGCAGGAGGTGAAGGACGGAGCAGAGACATATACAACTCCTGGACCAGTCAAACAGCCAATCATCTGTGAACAGCAGGAGGGGATGAGCACGCTACAGGTACAGTACATGTACGACACCTGCTGGACAGAATATCAATCAATCTGTTAGTGACACCCAGAGGAACTACATACTTGGCGCCTCCAGGGGGCAGCCTGGGGCAGCAGATCTGCCGTTAACACAACATTATTATTATTATTATTATTATTATTATTATTATTATTATTATTATTATTATTATTATTATTATTATTATTATTATTATTATTATTATTATTACTATTATTATTATTATTGTTATTATTATTATTATTAAAACACATCTTGGCCTATTAACAACTAATTTTGTCAACTTCAGTAAAAAAACAAATGACGAAAAATTCATACATAAATAATAATACAATTAATCCTGTGTTAGTGTTGACAGAGATAATGAGATAGTGTTGATAGAGATAAAAGGAAATCCTAATGTTCAGGCTGAAGAAGAAGAAGTTCAGATGAAGAAGGAAACACATGAGACGTTTTACCCCAGCTGGTACAAACCAGGGGCGGCAACCGGGGCAAAACTGATGATGTGCTCCACACAACCAGCTGACATACAACTGGAGGCCGTGAGTCAGAATGACCGAGCCAGGACTGAGTCACGACATTTAACACTTCATGAATCCCAGTCTGAGCTGAATGAGAAGCCCAGAGATGTTCAGGGTTCGATTTATCTGCCTGGGAATATGGAAAAATGTTCATGTCTGGAGAAGGGAAGTTTTGATCCTGGTTGTGTTGAAGATTCTTCTGACAACAGTGACACAAATGTGCCAGAGGAGACTGATTCAGACAAGGAACAAGGATCTGACTCAAACCTTGATGATGGAGAGAGGGAGAGTGTTCTCCCTGAAGAAGATGTTTCAGGTCTAAATTGTAGTTTAGAGCCGGGAGAGAAGCTGTTGATGAAGATAAACAGTGAAGCAGAGACAACAGAAAAACAAAGCATTTGTTCAGACAAAGACATTGTCTCTGAAGTAGAGTTGGACACTGTAGTAACAGCAGTGGACTCCGCTACACTGAAAAAAGACACCCTGGGAGTCAGTGTGCCTGAAGGTGTAGATGTTCCTGACAGTGGTAGGAGTACACAGAGTACAATAGAAGAAGAATCCGGTGAAGAGTCTGACTCTGACAGTTCACTGTTGGAGGACAGCAAACAGTCTCAAGACTTTGAAACAAAGCCTGAAACAGGTGTGGATGGGAGTAGAGAGACACTAACCTCCTGCGTCTCTCCTCAGGTCAGTGTACGGACTTCGCTTCATCAGTACCATCATCCTCGCTGCCATCACCGACCGGGCCGTTTCACTCCACACCCACTTGCTGATGCTTCCACTTGTTCACCTTCACGCTTTCATCTGTTTTGTCTTTGACTTTCCTTTATTTCTGTCTTCTTGATGTTGTATTGTTGGCTGTGGGCTGAGTCTCAGGAAAAATGAACACAATGTAAATTTGACCTTCAAATATTGGTGATTGTTGTAATTGTTACATTATTCCATTAGTTTCTTGGATTCAATTAGATTACATTTTATTTAAATAGGCAAAAATAGTAAAAAAAAAACAACAAAAAAAAAGGGCAAGTAGGATATCGAAGAAAAAAACAACGGCAAGTAGGGCCAGTAGGATATCGAAGAAAAAAACAACGGTAACACTATAATTGTATAAAGGTATGCATAAAATATCCATATAGCCATACATTAATAACATTATCAACAATAACGTAAAAGCATTATAAAAAATATACTTTTTTCTAGCTCACTTGCGACATTTACTGCCTTTTAATTCATTCTATGTTGTTTGTAGCGTTCCTTGCGTCGTGTGCATCACAATAAGAGTCCGTGTAAAACACATCGGGGAAACAAATGTTTCAGCGGTGGGAAATTAAATTTAAAAAACGATAAAAGTCTCACCCATTGATTCATATTAGCACAAAATGTACAATTTGATTTTAATTGGGAGAAAATATCAATTTCATGAAAAGATGGTCATTTTCCGTTAAAATAATATTCACATTTGTCCTGCCAATGTCTTTCCATCTGTTTATTCACTATTGTTTTCCTTCATTATTCAGTATCATACTCTTCATTTTTGTCTTTCTCTTTCTTTCACTCTCTTTTTCTTTCTGACTTTTGGCTTCGCATGCTCACCATCTACTCCATGCCCCTCTCTTTCTTTCTCTCTCGCACTCTCGCTCTCTCTCTCTCGTCATTCCTCCATCTTTCTCCAGGCTATCACTCTCATCTTCTACCTGTTGGCCTTCCTGGTCATCCTACAGAGGGTGTGGGCTTACATCGGCTGCTTCATTTACACATAGCACCAGCTGAAGACACCGCTGAATCCGCACTACTGCACAGCTCAGGTACAATCGCCTGCCTGCTCCACTAGAGGTCGTTCTTCAATGCTTCTATTCTAAAGATTGTTGACGTGTTTCATCTACTAAGCAAAAACAAAAAAACAAAAAACAAAAAAAAACCCTTTTCGTGTATAAACACCAGAAAACACAATCGTTTATACTACGATTTTAAACCTTTTAAAAACGATTGTATCAATGTATGAACTTTACTTATGTTTCTCAAAACGACTAGCAAGTTATTCCATATGGCGATACGTGTTTTAAATACCTCATCTTGAAAAATAACAGTCTTTACATTATTTCAAAAATCACTTGTGATTTATGTTTTTTATTCAATATCAAAAAACAGAACACGCGTCTTCGCTGACACCTTGTGGTATTGCTTTGTAATTACGACTGTTACGATGACAATGAAGACATAAATTAAACAAATGCTTTTGCTCTTTCATAGAGATTTAGATCCAATATGGCGGCCTAGTTGTATAAAAACAGAAATGGTAAATCTCTATTTTTTTTTAAATTGGTTTAAACCCCTCTTCTGTGGGCCTGTGTTTCAGATGGAGTCTGAGACTAGGTCTGGGTCCGCTCCTCTCTTCTCCCCTCCCACCTCTTCCCCCGTCATTGAGGCTCCTCGTAGACCCAGATTCTCCTTCTCCTGGCTGAACCCTGTCAACAAGAAGAAGTGATGGAAGGAGGGGGAAACGTGTCTGGAGATGGTACATTGCTGAGGCCAGGACGACGTGCTTTCATTTCATCAAGTCATTGCTGTTCTGAGATTAAAAAGACATGCAGTAACTGGATCAAAGTCAGAGACTGAAGGCACCACCGCTCTTGAAGACAGAGTGTTGGATCAATAATTCATTTAAGAAAAAACACATTTTGTGAATGCTGACAGAGTAGTATTTAACGGGGGCTTTTGCCTCTTCATGTGAAAGGTGTTGTATGCGTTTTTTACCTTGGCACACAAGAAATTCCTAATAGTTGAGGAAGTACTTAGAAAGTAGTACATCAGTGTTATAGTCTAGAACTATAAGAAATAAAGTTTGGGTAAAATGAAGAATTGGAATAGAAGATTGTAGATACAATCAGACGTGTTGGTAAAAATAACTTGTGTTAATATATTTTGTAGATTCTTAATGTCTTTCTTGAACAAAGCTTACCTTTAACAACACAACAAGTTGCTATACACTGTGGTGATTAGAAGGGGGAAAAAGCACAGTCCTCTGGTGTAGTCCAACACTAGAGATATTTTTTTGTTGATTGTTATAAAACACAAAGAAATTGTTTGAACATTGATAATATAAGATTATCTTTTTTATTAAAAAAAAATCAATGGTCACTGCATGAAGCAGAGTGTGAGTTAGAGCACTTTTTGTCATTTTTTTCCCAGGAAAAAAAAAACTGTGATTTCATATGATCTCAACCAAATAAACACGTAACTGTGGTCCCTGATATCTGCGATTGTTTTTGTAGATTCTGAGACACACACAGTAGGTATAGTTCGACTGATTTGTCGGTTTTGTTCGACCGACAAACCTTCAAAAAGAAATAATTCAAACAAAGTTTTGGAACTCCAACAAATCAAGACACCTGTCACAGTGACGTCACTTCAGCAGGGCGGAATTCGTGAACGGTGAGGAACACAACTTCCTTTTTGTTGGATGCGCCTTCGAAATAAAGTTAATGAATTACCGTGTTGTGTCCCCATAGGCGTTAACGTCAATTGAATATTAGATTAGAAATGTACATTTACTGAAAACACATTTGGTTTTGTTTTTACAAATCATGATGATTGATTGAATGATTTTATGACAAAAACCTTTCAAATTACGATTTTCTTAACAAGATAAGAACTTCAATTTGTGGTTGACATTGTGGGATTATCACAAAAAACAACAAACAAAATCAGCGGGCTACCAGAGGAGGCACAAAAATCACCACTGTTGTTTTTTAAGGAAAAAAAAACATTGTTTTTAAATGCTCCTAGCTTTTATTTTGAAACTCCTTAACGGAAGTGCCTTGCTGGCAATTGGACAGTTTAGGCTGTTCCCGTCGACGACTTTTATCAAAGTGGAAGCAGCAACCACAGAAGAGCAGGCAGATAATTGTTGGACTGCTTGTAGAAAGCGATTCTTTGCTGCTTTGAAACCCAATTAGGTCAGGAGTCGAGTCAAACTTTAAAGTTAAAAGTCTCCGCCGTGTCACATCGACGTCATGGACCCTGCCAGTCAAGGTAACATTAATTGTTAGCTTAGCGTAAACGTAGCCTAGCTTCATGTTCAAAATACGCAGACTCTTCAGTCAAATCAATCCACCGACGAGGAATAGTGTTATGTCAGATTTGTTTTCATTAAAGTTGCATTTGTGGGTAATAATAGTACGCGGTGTAGTGGTGAAGACGGGACGGGCCCGTGAGCAAGTGACAGCATATGTAAGTGAAGAGGGACACGGACAGGCGTCGTTTGAATAATATCAACAACTTATTAACATAATTGACTTTGGTGTATATGGAATAGATCTATGTAATTAGTGTACGTTGAGTCTATCTTTGATATAATTAGCACCGTGTAATCTATGTGAACGACACGGTGTTTTTGTAATTTTTCTGACGCATAACTTGGGCCAAATCTCATTATCTAATCTTTCCATAGTAACATTCTCTGTCACAGCTAATGTTTGAACCCCGGAGGTAAAACTATTATTCTAAAAATGTGTGAAACGAGGGCATGTGTACTTGTTTTGCAAGAACTACTTTTGTTCCTTCTCTTGTATGTATGTTATTGTAGTCTGACTAATGAACATGTGGCTATTGTTACAACCAACCGTTACAAAAGTGAGTATCACAAAAAAACCTTTTGTCTTTTGGACTGTGTAGTTCCCAGTAAATTAAAATTTTTTTTTTCACCAGAAAAAATATACATGGTAAGCAGTAGGTTGGGGCTGTTCTTAGCAACCAATGTGGAACAACCTCAGAAAACAACTGACTGTTGTTTAGAAAAATACCCCCAAAACATTAATTAGAGTTAATGCTATGTGTCTGTACAACACAACAAATAGGAGCCTGCTAAAATTCACAAACAATGTTGCTATAATTGTTCCTGAGTGTGTTGGGTTTAATGTTTTTTTCTTCTAAATCAGATCAGAATCAACAAGATTGCCATGATTTTCTATTCAAGACTATCAAATTATTAGTGATCGAGGCTATTAGATCATCTTGAAAATGGTAACTGTGAGTAAACCCTGTGGGAAATAGCACAGGGTTATTGATTTGGAGGTATTTAGAAATTCAGTGTCCACTTCGGGTCGTTTTACAAGGGCGGCCTTTGCATCACTTTCTGCTTCATGAAAATTCTATCCATTTTGTCATTATTCTGCCACATTTGCAGAGTAATGACAGCCATTTTGTACACACACTATCTCTGCTCTCCCATTGTCTCACTGTCCATTAGTGGCCAACCATTGGTCATCATCACTTTCATTTGCCCCCTTTGTTATTGTGCTGTATCACCCTGTCCGACTCCATGTATTCTTTGATTTTATAAAATACCATGTTTGTTATGATTATAAAAAATGATGATCCTGTAATGGCCAGATTAAAAACGTTTATCCTTAATCCCACCTGATTTTATTTCTTATTAATAGGCATGTAGTAGAACAACAAGAAATAGTTTTAGACAATTCTAAAACTCTTATATTCTGTGTCCTATTGAACCCTATTGAATAAAAGACTATTGTACAATCACAGTGTTTTCCTGGAAGCCTCGGATCCCTGTGGCAGCTTATTCCCATTAGGGAAGTTCTAATGAGTCTGCCAGGGCTGTGTCCTGCGTCTTATCCCTAAGTGGTCATGATAGATATGTTGAGTGGGTATTATGTTTGGATTGAGGTTTTTAAGCATAGCCTCTTCTAAAAAATTGATGTAACAATCATAGTAGAGTTGGAATAAAAGCATCACTCCTGCTAGTTTTCAACTAAGGTTCTCCGCAGCTTAGTCCATTTCTTATATACAGTCTAATGTTGTAAGGAGTGGCACATGTGGTTCCTCTTCATTTGTTTCCAACCCTCTGTCCTTAAAGAGACAAACTGAAATGTTACCAAATCCCAGGTGTGTTTGTTTTAAAGGACTGACCCTGGCGATAGATACTATTATTTACTTGTGTGTAAGCGTAATATTAGAGCAGAATGCAACACAGTAGCATAGTTTGGTTTAATGCGAGGGTGTGGTTGTTAGCACACATACAGTGCAGCGTTTACAGACTTGTTTGACGGAGGTCAGAATAATTCATCGTCATGTGCAACCAAACATGGACTGAAAGCAGAGCTAACAATGTCTGAAAATCCTTCCTGATTTTTCCATAGTTAGGAAGGGTTCAGGAAAATGTAGGAAGTATTTTTTCTTAAAATTTATATCGGAGGCTTTAACTAAAATAGGTTATTATGTCTTTAATATTATTGTTCTGGGGATCATTGTTATTATTTTATTATTAGATGTGTTTTGTTTGCTCTTGAAGCCCTGTTTTCTGAGATGACTGTTCACTGTTGTTTTGTGTGCGGCCTGACTCATTCTTCTCTGAATCAATACACCTTGAGGGTGGAGCCACTGTATCTCTTGGCAGTGTGAATACGGATGTTATTGCATAGACTCTAATGCACTGGCACCAAAGCAGCCTGCTGAGTAATCATAAAAATACTCCCCCAAGAGTGTTGATCAGCTTCTCTGGCCGTCAGGTAGAGAATTTGGAGTATGGATTAAATTTAAACTCCACTTTTCTGGTCGACTGACATTGATATTGTGTTTTAAATAATTTGAGGTGAGATTTTCAGCCCAGAGCAGGTTGTTATGATAAAATTATTTTGTTGGATTTCCTGTAAGCCTTATGTTATAACACCATTCAACATCTCAGGCAGTGGCTTCTTTTCTCTCTCCTTGTTGTCTCTTCTGTGCCAGCTCTGGCTGTGCCAAGCCACTGTATCTGCCAGGACTTGCATGTGTCCTCAGGTGAATGACGTAAGAAATGCACATTGTTGCTGAAATTGCGATGCCAGTGCCAGGTTTCCATTTTTGATGTCATCTGCTTTGATGTGCAATCTCCAAAATACAGGCCTTGTTGAACATTTCTTTGTATTTAATGTGTTATGATTCAGCAGAGTCTGTTTTCAGTGCACGGATGGTGTTTTAACGCTTAAATAGGAATGTTTGGTCTAAGTTCTTGTTACATTTTCATCACAGATATCAACCTGAACTCTCCCAACAAGGGCCTTGGTGTAGATCATTCAGACACACTGTCGGATGTGCCAGTGGAGGGAACAATGCAAAACTCTGCCAACCCTCTCCCACCCGGTCTGACAGAGGAGGAAGCTGAGGAGCTCCGCACCGAGCTCTCCAAGGTGAAGGCTCTGCTCTTCTGGAATCTTCAAGCTCGATTAAAATAGGAGACAAGCGGGAAGCTCCTGTCTGAGCCTCGTCTTTGTTGTTGTTGTTGTATTTCAGGTGGAGGAGGAGATCAACACTCTGCGTCAGGTTCTGTCAGCCAAAGAGAGACACGCCATAGAGCTGAAGAGGAAACTCGGTCTCAGCACACTTGAAGAACTCAAGCAGAATCTTTCCCGGAGCTGGCAAGACGTACAAACCTCCAATGCGTACGTATTCATCACATGCAGGGATGCTCTTCTATTCTTGTGCGCTGCTCCTGTTATTTAAGAGATTTACCATACTACTTTTTTGAGTGTAGGGTTGCACAAAAGAACAGATATTGTGCTGCTTCTAGATGAGCCGGTTTCTCATTCCATCTTCACTATGTATTCATACCTTTTTGGGGAATTGATTCATAAATTGGTGCACAGCAAATGCTAAAGAGAGCTTTGAGAGTTTGGTGCTTAAATATTTTCTGTACTGTAAGGCACCTTCTCTGTAACTTCAGGTGGAAATACCATGATGTGTTGTTGGATGACATAGCCTTAACTTCTGGTCACCGATGGACAAGTTAAATATTATATTTTCCAGACAATATGTTGCACAGGAAACGGTGGTCACAGTGGTCTGATCTAAATCTTTAAATCTAAATCTATGATTTATCTGTAAATAATATTCATTATGCAGTGTAGCTTTTTGATTTCCCAACACATTTTGTCTTCTTTATTTAAGGAAATTAGATTTGTTTTTATTGTTTTATGACAATGAGTACACAGTACACAGCGCCCTCTTGCAGCCATAAATGATATGCAGGATAAGTGGAAGATTAGCCACGGTACTAAAACAATTTTGTGATAAACTGCAGTTAAAACCAGAGTTAAAACCAGAGATATATTATAGGTTTAGTATAGTATAGATTTTTATCACCACTGTCACCTGTTTTTGCTCATTTGTTAATGGTTGTTGCATTGCAGAAGTATGACTTGAGAAGTAGCCTGGAGGCTGTTACTTTATTAGTTAATAATTTACGGCAGTCAAAAGAAATGAATGATTGAAACCATCTTTCTAGTACTGTGCAGAATTTGCTGAGTAAAAGTTTTTTCTCCTTCTGTCTACATCAAATATAATTGCACCACCTTTACATAACATCTGATATATCTGATATCAGATATGATATGTCTCTGTCCTTAGCTATGTGAGAACCACAGAGAAACTGGGCGAGTGGAATGAGAAAGTTACCGGTTCAGATTTGTGAGTCCATGCACTGTTTGCTGCTCGCACCCTGGTGATGACTGTGGTTGTTCGCTGTTTGCTCTCTCACGCTCCAGCTCGTACTCACTCTCTTCTCACCTTCTAACCATGTTTGAGATCACTTATATTTCATCTGGTGGTGTTAAACTTTGCGTCTGGTGTTAGGGCACCAGAATAAGTATTTGGGAGTTGAAACTAATCAGTTCTAACGCCATTGTATTTGCCGTAATCGTTGATAATATTAGTTTTTTCCCTGGTCGATATCAAACTAGAATTCTCCCTGGTCTAGTTCCCCTTTTGCACCAGACCTCTCAGTCTCATGTAGGTTTGGTGGTGCATTTTATTTGTTGATGCTGTTGCAGTTGCATAAGTGACTAATGCACTTCTGGCAAATTATTATTGTGTTTGATTATATATAATATATTTAAGGTGGGACTATGGACAGGGAAGAATCTGTCCACAAATATAGTTTGTTTTTTTGGTTACATTAATCACAGATGTGGAAACACATCATTCTTCTAACATGAGCAAAGCCAAATACTATGGCTTGCATTTGGAAATGTTATTAAGAATGGGTAAAGGGATGATTAGCATGTTATTATTTAACGTCCAGTTCCTGTTTATCCTCTGAAGTAGCTGTGAAGCAGCACAGGGCCAGTCATTCACAAACATGGTTTTTTATTCATCTCTTACCTGGTTAAGTAGCAAAATTACCAGTCAGAGTTTAACCACTCTACTGAAACAGGTGCAAAAGCACTCACTATTTAAAACAAATTAGTGGACCATTAGTGTCTCCAACCTTTTGGTTAATTGTTGTGCATATGTTTGAGTAGGTGTCTGCCTGAAGTTTGAACGCGTTCCGATGAAACACTGGACTCCACAGGCTGCTGTGGCTGATGTCAAATGTGAACCTAAAGGAATTTTCCATGTGGCTGCTCTGTGAAGTGAACTGGATTGTCAGGCTCACTCAGATGGTTATCCAAACATGACGGCATGACACATCACTCTATGGCAGTGGGTTCATTGGTTTGTAATTTTTTTCCTTTTTTTTTTCTAAATAATAGTTACAGTTCACTCCTGTAGGTTTCACACGCTTCTTTTTCTTTAATGTGTTAAACTGCACTGCTGTCTGTCAGTGTTACGATATGTATTTTAAGTAAGAATGATGCAAGTGTCAATGTGGAAAATGGTTAAACTATAAGAAAGGAGTATTTTATATGAACATAATATCACCTGTACCTGAAAATAGTCGGGCAGTGATTTCATTCTTGACCTCTGCCCTCACACAAACGTATGAAGAGTACAATGGCAGAGAACAGTAGCTGAAGGCGTGTGCCTGTATCTCATCCACACACGTGTTTGTCTGCTCCATCATTAAACCTGGTGACCAGACGAGCAGCTCAGACCTGCTGCTGCAAGAACAAGTAGGAAGAGAGATGGAGGGAGGGAGGAAGAGGAAGTGAAAGAGACGGTGATTTGCTTAGTCACATGGAATGTATATTCTGCAGAGAAAAATAGGTGATGCATTATGAATAAGGTGGAGCCACTCAGTTGGTTGTTGGGGTTTTATGATTTAAAAATGGAAAATGTGTTGGTCTCAGGTTTCACTCTGTGTGGCCAGGGCTGAGGATAAGACTTCTGCTTACAAACAGACAGACAAAAAACAAAACGTCTTGAATTATCGTCACTCTTCTGTGAAACAAAAGTAAGCCTAGTGCTAAGGCAATAACTATACAGTTAGCAACAGTGTGCTGTCGTATATCAAAATATAGAGGAGGGCCTTGTCTGAAGGGAGGTCCTCATTATGAGTGAGCCGTCTCCTGTCTCTACAGCACAGTTGACAGTCAGTGTAGTTGTTGCAGAGACTTTGCCTAACAAATGATCATTACCATTTTGGCTTTTGTTTTTTTTGTTTTTTATCTTTAAATATGTTTAAACATTAACAATATTTTGCTTTTAACGTCATCTCTCAAAGCCATACTTTCTTATGTAACAGTTTAAAAAAAATGAGGCTGGGTCTTTATCATCGTAACAGTACACAAAAATGAAAAAAAAAAAAAATGAGGCTGGGTCTTTATCATGTTATTATAAATTTAGAGAAAATAAATAAATAAATGACAGGGAAAAGAACATTTCAGTTCCCTATATTAAGGCACGGTGGCATCACTGATGCACACTCCAGAACGGTGGCAGTAATGCACAGAAAGTGTACGTTTGCAACCAGTGAAAAGCTCGCTCAGGATACTTTAAGTGATGTCAACGCATAAGAAAGTTTGGTGAACAGGAATAGAAGGAGAAACTGCATTGCTTTGCTTGTCGGATGGAACGCTTTTTAATAGCAATTTGGTTAAAAACATGGATTTGTAGATTGTTCAGTATTTTTTTTTCTCCTACCTCAACTCTTCAAGCTGGTCCTAGGATGAACACTAGAGCTTTAGTGAGCAACAATGAGCCTGGTACAAGGATGTGATATAGGTTTTATATTACATTTTTAAAGACTTTGTCTGTAATTTCTGTGTTTTTCATTTTGTTGTGTAATATGAAAAAAACCATCAGGTATTCCAGCAGTGTCCCCCACTCCCTTCAGTCTTCAGTTCATCACTGCTTGTCTGGTTAAAACCCCTCTTGAGCGTTGAGTTTTTTGGTTTGAAGCATCTGAAAGACAACTGCATGTTGTTTACCACAACCTGACTGAACTCAACTGTACTGTACTGTATTGTGAGTGAGTGTTTCTCCTCTGTGTCATTATCCTGCTGTTGTGTCTTCAGATATCTGTCTGCTTCAGCCACTTTGGATGACATTACCCACTCTGAAGCGTGAGTTGACCCCTTTTTCCATTTGTGTTTTTATTTAGTAGTCCAAATAAGGTTTCTGTACATGTGGCTTCAGCCCTGGGGAGCTGCTCTCTCTGTCACTGTCCATGCTTTGTCTCCTGTTCATTGCTTCTGTAACGTGTGCGTCTTGTTTTTGGTGGCGACTGGCCGGTTACAGGAAAGAGTTTTTACTTCATCAATAGAAAATACGCCTCAAATTACAGGTTAAATCATTTAGAATTTTTTTTTTAAATGTAATGTTTTCTAATAGTTACATAGGTTAAATCATTTAGAATTTATTATTTATTAAATGTAATGTTTTCTAATAGTTACAAAAAGGATCGAGTGCACGACACTGTTGATAACCATCCAGTTCCTCTGCTTTTAAAATGAACACATGACGTATGTGTCTGTTGTAGGTTATGTGATTTGCCTCTTGTACTGTGCACAAGCTTATCTCCAAATCTATACTTCTTTAGTCTTCGTTACCATCTGTTGTTGAGGCTCCATCTGTCTAGTGACAACTTGACTCTGTGCACGTTCCTGTGTGTTTATGTTTTTGCAGGTTTTTGTTTTTGAAAGGAACAGGCTATGTGTTTGTGTCTGTTTATATTTCAGTGGGTGCACTGTGATGTCTCGTAACTGTACACTAAAGAAAATACGCCAGTAATAAGGAAATAAGGCAGTAGAGAAAGTATGTGTTCTATTAATGGACTTAAAATGTAAAAGTGTATTTTGTACAGTGAAGATGAGATGCATGGTGAAAAATGAATATACTTTAAAGGAGTGTTTTTTAGAAGGAAGTCATATTTTTCAAATATTATATTTTTACATTGGCACATTTTTGTTAAACTCACTTGACTATTAATTGATTATTCACTCCAGACTAGTGCAGGCAAATGTGTGTTCACATCATTGATCCCTTCTTGTATGAGTTAGTGACTCTCACGTGGTTGTCAGGCGAGGTCAGGGAGAAGTCTCGGAGAACCAAGATGTTCGCAGAGGACACTGTACTCTTGGTGCACTGGTGAGAGCTTATAGAGGTGGAGATCTGCACTGGGGTAATGAGGAAGGAAAACCCTGAGTTAAAGTTGTCTTAATGGTGAGAATCAGTCAGCAGCGGAAGTGCAGAATCATGCTGAGAGATGATCCACCCTGCCGATGTTAAACAAAATAATGTCGTAAATAGTTCAGCTTAAATAATGGTAATTCTGCACATATCACCAAAATATATGCTGCTGCAGCTTTGATCCTGAGTTTTTGTTGTGACACTGGATGGTATGTTATGTTGATTGGACATGTCTCCCACCCTCTCCATACTGGAAACTGAAAACATTAACCCCAGAAGCATTTAATTGGAGTAAAGCTCCTATAGTAATGCTTAGAAAGTGATGTCATAATTAAAGCTTTTTTTCTGTTCACAAGTGAACAATTCATCCACAATTCAGTGGTCATTGAAGGGTTAATGTAGTGTATTTATTACTGCCATATTGAGTTTTAAGTGTTAAATAACTCTTAACAAGTTGTCACTCCTGTGGTATCACTACTGTAGTCTCACTGCTGTGGTATCACTACTACTGCTGCCCTAAAATGTAACTGTTGGTCTGGGAAGTCTGTTCTGTTTCAGCCGGTGGATAAAGGACTAACGTAAATCCGTTCAGTTTCTTCTGTGTCTTTTCTGTGGGAAAATAGTTGGGTGTAGTAAACTATTAACGTTTGTCTCCTCTGCTCTTTTCCTTTCCTCCATCCCCTCCTCATCACCCGCCTCCTCTCACTTCCTTTTTTCACTCCATCTATTTTTGGTTTTTCTTTTCCCTACTATTCTGTCTCTACCCGTCTCATCTTGTCCTCTTTTTTTTATACCCACTGTCCCACATCTTCATCTACTTCCACCCAAACCATCTCTCCTCCTCTTGTTTCCCCCTCACATGTCTCTCTCCATCCTTCCCCCTCCTCCCTTTTCTCCCTCTCTCTACAGATACAAGAAGACTCAGGAGACTCTTACCCAAGCGGGACAGAAAACTAGTGCAGCTCTCACCACAATGGGCTCGGCCATCAGCAGGAGGCGGGGGGACATGAGGTACAGTGAGGTCGAGCCAAAATGGCTGACGCACTTGCTCAGCTGCCAGAACAAACCAAAGTGAAAAGTGTGGAAAAAAGAATGGGAATAATAATAATAATGTAGTATGTAACTTATTCTGCAAAAGACACATCTGATGTGTTTTACCACCAAAGTTTGCATCGTTATTAATTTTCTACAATCAATGGATTGTTATGGTAAACATCAGAGCTTCCCTTCAGAACTCAAACAACCTGAGTACTGTTGTGCGACAGTCAATATTTGTTGAGGTCTGACACTTTTTTATCAGGCTGTTCAGTCATCAGATGCATTCCCATCTATTGCAACACGTTCCACTCCTTGTTTACAGCTGCTGCTGCTAATGTCTTTGTCTGTCTTTGTCTTTTTTGTAAACTAGTCTTTTAAGTACTGATGTGAAAAGAACTGTGGATTAGATGCTAACAACCTGTGATGTGTCACTCCTTTGGAAACCTATTCTATTTATTGCCGGGGTGTGTCTGTAATATGAAATTAGAGGAAACGTGATAGGGGAGGTTTATTTGGGAATTTAGACCAACCTGTCCTACATTTGGTATGTTTAGTGTTGTCCCAGTGGGACATCCCAAACTCTGTGAGGAAAAAAGTCTATAATGATTATTAGTCTTAGTTATAGATCAGTTAGGTTAGTTGTAGAAATAACCAGTAGCATCAGAGACAGAGGAGAATTGTAGTTTTGATTTGTCTCATATCACTGTCTCAGCATCCTTTTTTTTACATGGACACAGTGTCTTTACCTAAAGTCACACCAGAGTGACTAGAGAAATTCACTCCTACTGAGGAACAGTAAATATACACAGCTATGATTCTCATGTAAACAGTTGGTGCCATGTTTACTGTCACACCACTCAGTAAATATTTTAATTTTCCATCCAAGCACTAATATTGATAGTCGTTCTTCACGCAAGGGTGTGTTGTATGTGATGGAAAAGTGGATGTCTCTGTCTTTAGCACATCAACTCTTATGTTCCCCCTCCTCCACCATGTACTTGCAAGCAAATTGGACCTGTTTTCCCCTGTCCTTTCCTGCATGTTCTTGTTGTGTTCGTCCAAAGTAGCGTCGAAAGATTGCTGCATGTTGTCACGCTATTGTTGGTGCAAGGCATGAAATGAAAATCAGTGGATGTGCCCACGCTTTCTGTAGAAGTAACGCAGCTGTAGATTTAACACATTTATTTTACTAATACATGACAATATACACAAACATACAGTATATACGTTTGGTAAGTTTTAAAAACCGGGTCATTCACTGCTGCTTTACTTCACGTGGGTTACTGTCCAAATCACCTGTTTTGTTTTAATTATTGGTTTTTTTTTTTGTCTTCTACAACTGCTGCTGTTGCTCATGCTCTCCCTGTCTTTGTTTTTTAATTGCTGCCTTGGTTTTACCTGCAGAGCGCTACCTTTCTCTAATTCCTTTAGGTGAGATTATCATGTCCTGTTTCCAAGAACAAGTGTTTGAGCCCAACAGCATGTGACCTAGAATTTAAACAAATACCCTGAAATTCTCCAGTGTACAGTTAACTGTAGATGTTTGATTTTCAGCTTTTGGTGTGTGTGTATGAGAGTGTGCGAGAAAGTCTGAGAACATTTCCGTGCTTGCTTTATAACACTGCACTTCTCTGTCTCCTCTCTAATGCTTACAAAGTAGCAACTATTCCATTCGCCACTCGATAAGTATGCCCGCCATGAGGTAAAGTAACACACAGATCTGCTCACTACACTCACAGTCACTGCTGCTTCACTTTAACACACACACTGTACAGTACACACTACTCTAGCTCCACCTCTGTATGGCTGCCATTTCCTTTTTATATGTATTTGTCTTGTTTATTTATTTATTATTTTTTCTAACACGCTGTTTTACAGGAACTCTGCGACCTTCAAGTCATTTGAAGATAAGGTGGGAAACCTGAAGGTGTGTGTCTTAGAGTTTGTTAGTAACCAGAGCAGACATCTGACTGAGCACAAACAAGAGGCATTATGAGACAACTTCAAATAGAGTTCTTGAAATTAAAAACATTTCTTTTTTTTTTGGTTTGCCTTTTTCATGTGAATCAGTGAAGTCACATTTATACACACTGTATAATTTAATCGTATTACTAAAGATTACTAAAAAATATATATATGTAAAATATATATCAAATGACAGAACAAAAAATAAAATTGACACCCAGAAAAATAAAATATATATATTTTATACAAATATATTGAACAGCAATATAGCGCAAGGAATAACCAGCTTGTGTCACTGTTACGCAGCATGCTGTGCTGCCCTACAACAGGGATGCTTTATAACAGTGCTCTTTTTGTATATTTCAGTTTTGAACATTTGTAAATTCAACGGTAAGAGATGATAGGAGACAGAGATACAAACTCTACTTGTGTTTAATTTTAACAATAAAAAAAAATCTACAACTTACATGAATGCTTACATCAGTAACACTGCTCCACCTTCTGTCTCCTTAGTATAAAGTCGTTGGCACCAAGGGAAACGGAGATGTCGTGAGCTCTCCCACTGACTCCACCCCAACGCAGGAGAACCCACCCTTCTGAACACCACCGGCCTCCTCCTCTTCCTTTTCCTTCTTCTTCTCTTCTTCTTCCTCATCTTCTTTCTCCTTGCTGCCACCTTCCTTCACGACCTGAGACTGTACTCTTATCACCTCACATCGCAGTCAGCCCTGACCTTTGACTCTTCACCTAACCGGCCTCACCTCAGTCACTTTCTCTCCTCGAGTTCTGCAGACAAACAGAAGGGACTTGTGGGTTTGAGGTGGAGGCAACTTGTTGCCAGTTTCACTGACTGTGATCCTGTGGCCTCTGTTCTTCTGTCTCACTGTTTCTGTAAAATCCTACTGATGTCTAAATATGAATCACAGCCTTCAAGCTTTACTTTTTTTTTTCTTCTGTAAGATTATCATTTATTTTCTTGGTTTTCTCAATTCGAAATCTGAAAGTGATCTGTTACCTTCTTTTAAGCATGTCACAGTTTCATCACGTCACCCGGATCAAAGCTAAAGCACAGACGAGAAAGACAAATGTGAAGTTCCTGAACTTTCATTTGTTCTTAATGTAGTTTGGAATTGAATTTGTAGTTCGTACTTAAAATTGGGAGGATGGCCTTTGACTTTTAAATGGCCACAAATAAAGTTCACTGTAGGTCTTGGAGAGTTTAAACCACGAGAAAACTGATTGAATAATCGACACATTTAAGTGAAAATCTGACCCCAAAACAGTCAAAACCACATCCTGCAGGTTTTATGTTTTGTCATTTGACTAAAAAAAATGTACGGACTGATAATAGATAAAGATTGAACAGTTACAAGTAATATTATTGACGGGTAAATTTACTCTTTCTGTCTGTTACCGAGTTTGTCATCAAAGGTGCATTTACACTGTGATCGCCTGCTGGTGTCACTAAAGCTTTACCGCCATTTGCTAGACATCAAACCGTCTTTGCTTGACCTCTTTTTGGTTGCCAGCAGTGTGACGCAGGCTACACTCGCAGTTTGGTGGTAGGAGGTGGACCTCCACAATAACCCAGACATCGTCTTAGACCAACTACTGCTCCGTGCATGTGCATATCTCACTTGTACCAGACAAACCAGGCAAAGACGACCGAGGTCATGTGTAAACACCTTACAGACACCCCAGGATGTAAAAACTGAAACTAAAACCATTTTGTATTATAAACTATTTTACACTGCTTTGCATAATGTTTTTACATAACTTTTATCGATATGTATAAATATATATATAAATAAAGCAATGCTGCTGGAGGACAGGTTCAGAGGCTTGAGAGGAGCAGACAGGGGCAAAACAAACAGCAGAAAATAATCAGTTTGACACGCATGACTTATCATCTGTCTGGGTTTTTTCCTGTTTTAAATACACTCGAGGTCTAAATATAAATTGTTTCCATGTTTGTAAAAACTGAATGAGCTGTTGTTTTGCACTGGTCTGGACACAGGACTGAGAAGAAACTGAACAAACTGGAAGTGTGTTTGAACTCAGGCACAGCAGGTCAGCATCAAACTAAAACCCAAACCCGGTCGAATGTGTTGTAAAACCACACCGGCTGTTTTCTTTTCTTTTCTACCCAGGCTGACGGCTGCTCTTATGTTTCTGTTCAAACACATCTCGACGCGATGGTGTCGACGATGCTCTGCTGTGTACAGTACTTGGTGAATGTTGACGCTTTTCTGTCGGCCTTACTCGCGTTCATTGGTTTTCCTCGTAGTTTAGGTGGTAGAAAATAGGTTTCCGTTTTGTACGTGCTGTTTGTTTAGTTGGTTCAAATGAAGGAAGAAGAGTTGGCATTGAGATAGTTGAGTCCACCAGTCCACATTTCTTGGCGTCATATTTTTGCTGCCACAGTAGAAGCTTTGCTCGCATCTCCTGACCACGCGATTGCACTCCAGTTAACACTGTGTGATGAACCTGCACGAGGCCAAAACTAGTCACAAAACGCCACAGTTGCACTTATTGTTGAACCTCAACGTACAATACACACCACCCTTGTCAGTACAATGGCCATCACACACTTTACACACATTCAGGGACAGTGGCAGTAAACCGGAGCACACACAGTGGTGAAGAGTTGTCTCTTTTCTCACAATTTTGGAAAAGGAAAGAAAATAAATTTTAAGGTTTTTTTTTTCTTTTGCTCTCTCACAACAACATTGGTGATACAATAGCAACATTGTGTTATCCCAAACAAATGCAATAGTTGTTTGTGTTTTGGTGTCATCTCTAATGGTAGCAATGAAATAAATGTAAAAAATAAAACAAGGCAAATTAACTAAAGATCTTGGATGACATTTCTGAGATGAATTATAATATTTCAAATACCATCAGTCAAATAACTTAAAACCAAGTGCTTTTTTTTCTTTACTGCATTGGACCTTTTCAGCTAAACTTTTTTTTTCATTCAAGCTTAATCTTCACAAAATTCTAGAAAAAACCTCCACATGATGTTGCCAGTGTATCACTATTGCATTTGCTTGTTTTTTTCCTGTATGTGACTGCTGAACATTTCAGTAGTTTTTTTTTTTTTCCGCAAGGGGTTTGATGTTGGAGACATTTCTTCTTTGTAAATGTTTTCAAAGCTGGTTGCCAATATTTAAATATATGTTACAAGGTGTCTTTGCCATTACTTCCCAGAAACTCTTGACTGCTTTGCCAAAATAACAACGCAGACATGCTAACACAGGGTTTGTCTCCAGTCATATGTTGTAACTTTTGTTCATAATATTATAAGATTATGTTTTTCTTGGGAAATTGAGTTTGGCCAGCACATACTTGTGAAAGACTCCAAAATGCCAAAATAGGTAGATGCGGTATTCTGTTTTAAGTTGTTGTTGGACTAGGGTAGGAAGGGTAAACTATCTTGTTGGTGTACAGCACATGAGAACCAGTCACTGCTGAGGCTGTTGGACACTAGTTCATACTCATAGCTTTATTAGGTCAAGGGCTGAGCTGATGTAGTAATGTAAAAGGGATCAGATGTGAGAGATTATGATGATGAATGAATAAAAACAACAGATTTATTGGTTTTGTTCTGTATGTTAGTATATCAATAAAGCATTCCTTTGAATGACAAATTGACTCGTGTTCTTAAACAATGCTTAAAACCAAAATGCAAAATAAACATCCTTTATTTAATCCCTTATTTACACCCCCTTACTCTATTTTTTAAGCTATTTTTTTTTGTTTTAGCCGTTGCAATTAATTTCATATTTCACAAGATGGCGCTAGAGTGCTTCCCTGGTGATCAATGCACAGTAGGGGTGAAGGGGCAAACAAATAGTTTTAGCCGTTGCAATTAATTTCACAAGATGGCGCTAGAGTGCCTCCCTGGTGATCAATGCACAGTAGGGGTCTGCATAATAGCCACAGTTTAGGCTTAAAATGTACATAAAATATGGCTTCCGTCTTCGGTAAACTATTTATGAGAGCCCCGTAAAGTCGATGTATTGATACATTTGACGTCTTTACAGCAGATGTCCAGCTAGGTTTCCGTTGCACACACAACCCCCATGTTTATTTATTTTTTTATTTAATGATTACCAGGGCAGTAAATACTGCGTGTTAAGGGAATTCTAGTTCAAACGCTAATAGTTAAAATGAGAAACAGCAACAGAAAAGACAAATACGACAATTTTGACAATTGAACTAATTTTAGTTTTGGAAATTTGAATAATTTGTCTGTTATTTCAGGTACCCAAAAAGGTAAATAAAAGTTTGTCAATACTAACCCTTAAAAATTCTTGGCCAAAAACTAATTTACTACAGTTATTGCTCTCCCTTCATAACAGAAATGTCTGACTACATCAACTTGCAATACTACTCATGGTCGCCAGTAGGCATTTTGGGATTATCACTGTTTACGTATGGTCCCGCCCTGCCGACTCGTTGATTGGAGGGTTTGACGTTTGTACGTCACCATAGTGCCTATAAAAGCAGGAGCTGTTGTTTCGAGCCATCATTAAGCGGAATCGAAATCCTTTCGGACGTTGGAGGGTTATATTTACCCAAAACTTATTTTCAAATGGGCCCCGTCGCCTAGCGTTTTCTCCCCCAGCCTCGCCGAGTGAGTTGACCTGGGTGCTCCCGAACATCCAGCACGTCTGAAAGGTGAGATTCGGTCGTGTATGAGCGGTTATAAGATGGAGGATGAAAAAACACCGAGGGGCTTTAACAGTGATGGTGGTGGGTTCTATAGTGCGAGGGCGAGCTAACAGGCTAACGAGACTCTGATTGTGGCCAAGGATGACTCATTTTATATAAATTTGAATACAACGGTTCTCCATACATTAGATGTTTTACATTTTATTCTGGAAATGAAGAACAATGATATCGAATGTTCGTGGCGAGGTATTTCTTTGTTACCCCCACACACATTACAGAAGGGGCAAACAAATCGAATGATTCTCTTTATTACACCTGGATGATATCCCCGTGTATTCACATCTGTCATTCGTGTAATCTACTGTAATCATCCGTGTGTTCTAATGGACAGGCTTAAATGAAATTAATTAAAAAAAACATCCTGGTGTAGTGGCAGCTAAAATGTAAACAGGCTTGAGATGACGTTACCGAGGACGTCCCACCGTCTCCTACATATGGTTAAAATAAACACACCACTGTAGACCACGGTTTGTAGAAAATGTACTTTTATCCACAGTTAAGGTGAATTATTCATTAATTAGTGTATATACTAATGTTTATGTACATGAAAAATAATTCATCTGCATTTATGCAGTGGTGTGATGAGTGAGTAAATATACATGCCTAAATTACACCTTCATGGCTGTACACCTCTTGATAGAGTAAATATACACGCCTAAATTTCACCTTCATGGCTGTACACCTCTTGATATATTGCTGTAGCTTCCAAAATAATTGTGATACTTTTGATTAATAAAACTCAAATAAAAGAACAATGCAGCTTAATTCTGATCATGGATGACTTAAAAAAGAAAGAGTTCCCAACTTTTTCCATATCCTTTGATGGCAGTCTTTGAGTTGACATAGTATAAGCACAAAAAACATCATAATTACACTGGTAATTACTCTGAGCTAAAACTGTTCTCTATAAACTTTATATACCTCCACACTCTTCCTTAAAGCAAATATTAATCATACAAATTTGGGATTTTTAAATAAAAGGCATTAGTCAGCATTTGACTGATTGAGTGGATGATAAAGTGTCCTGGGGGCTTTGTGGACCTATTCAGCTGACTTTTTAGTTTTTACTAAATGGAGTTTTCTCCTCAGGTTTCCACCAAGCACAGCAAACGGCAAGAAACGACGTAAGAATGGCAGCCATTCCAGCAGGCGGTTCTCTTGTGGCGACCACTGACTACTACCGAAGTGAGTCTCCACCATCGTAGCCTCTTATCACATCAGTGCAAAAGGCCGAGCTATTATCCCTCTCCTGCTGGGAGGAGTGCTGTCACCGTGCTGTTAATGTCACAGTCCAGCTTGATAAGGTGTGATCAGTGATAATGATTGTCATGTCATGACTCAGGACAGCTCTGTTTCTGATGATCAGAAGGAGTGGGTGAGAAGTGGATTTGAACTGGTACACATTAGTGGAAAACGGTTTAATCAACATGCGTCATTGATAATGACTGCATCTCACATTTCATCATGTTGCATTACACTTAATTGTGTTGGTATTTCTGGTTAGAGAAAGGCTGTCATTGTGTCATTAGGGGAAGGAAGCTGCAGTGTTCTTCCTCAAAACAACACCCTTCCTGGCCCTTACTGCTTTTTTCTGCTGTTCCCTTTCTAACAACAGCTTCAGACTAGACAAAGCGTGTACAAACATGTTTTTTTTTAGACTGATTCCATTATTTGCTTTTAGGCATTTTGGGATTTTCCACTCAGAATTCTTTCTTACCTTTAATCCCATAAAAAACAGAAAAAAAACACTGCTGTTTAGATATTACGTGTACTAGTGGTACGAGCACACCAGGAGACTACACACTTCAAATATAATCAGTGAAACATCTGTTGCACTGAGGATCTTATCTGTCATACTTTACTTCTGTAAATACAACAGCGTCGTAAAACATGTGACCTGAAACCAAACAAGGACATGAGCTGAACTTAGTAAATAAAGAAAATGTTTACTGTTAAATCCCGAATAAAGCAGCATTGATTACTGCATATTTAATGTCAATAGAATACACCTGGTCACCTGAGTTGTAACCTGTCTGGTCAAGTCTAATCAGAGGCCTGTTCAAAGGTCAGGTGTTCCCCCAGCCTGTGCTTATATAATGTAAAAGCAGGCTTTTATTGCCTTGTGGTTGGAGACTGTGGATGTAGAGTAAAAGTGTAGTATTACACAAGAGTACAGTTTCTACCCCTCAGTTAGAGAAGTTCCATTGAGAGTTGCTTATGTTTTCACAATTCTTTTATTTGATTTAACAACTTGTCCGTCTCTCACCCCTCAGGGCGCATCGGCTCTACATCCAGCAGCAGCTCTTGCGGCAGTTCGGAGTACATCGGGGAGGTCATCCCTCACCACCCAGGTACGTACGAGGGCGTACATCCATCAGCCGCAGGATTGTGAAGTCATTGGTAAAAATGCTTATCTTAGAGATTAAATTCCCTGTGAGTCAATCGCTTCCGTGTTTTTTTTTTTTTTTTTTTTTTTGGCAGTGATTCAGTGCGTTTGCAACATTGCTGCATCTACTTGATGCCACTGCACAGTGAAATTACAGCCACAGCTTCAGTTTCTGTGACCTGAGGGTTGCCTTGCGCACTTCAGCTGTTGCCTCAGGGCAGAGTGAGTCACTGTGGCTGAGTCATCCTAAGATTACATCAGTAACCGTGGTTATCATGGTTAGTCAGGCCCTCTGAGCCAGGGGTCGCCAACCTTTTTGAAACTGAGAGCTACTTCAAGGGCACTTAGTGATACAGAGAGCTACTTGTTTAATACAGACTGTACAAACAATGGTTCTGGTACATACAATAACAGACACTCTTCTTACCACCATTGCACCCATTTGAATATCACTGCAACTGTAACTGATTCAAAAAGCACAGTAACAGTACAGTTTTTGACCCTCTTATTGACTAGTTTTATTTTTAGAACAATTCTAAAGATTGGCTTACGGGCCAGTTAAAATGACCTTACGAGCCAGATTTGGCCCACATACCATATGTATGACATATATATATATATATATATATATATATATATATATGTCAATATGATGTTTTAAACAATGTGAGAAGACAGGTTTTCTGTTGGCACAGTTTGTTTTGACCAGCACATATGTAAACCTACTGTAAATGGATGTAGGTCAAAGGGTAACAGGAGAGCCACAGCAGTTGTGCTGTGTTTATTACAGTCTTAGTGTATACACAGCTGTTCAGCGTAATTGAGGCCATAACACATGGCTCTGTCAGTTCTGTCTGTGGAGGCACTGGTACTTTTCCAGATCACATTCAATTCTGTGCAGTTCTCATGAGGACTGCCCACATCTTTAATCACGAATCCTCATTATTTGTCAAAATATAACTGCTTATGGTGTCTCTGGTGTCTACAGGACTCCCCAAGCAGGACTCTGGCCATTGGTGGTCCAGTTTCTTCTTTGGGAAGCAGCCAGGGATGACCCCACTGACCGAGGAGGCTCAGCTGAAGTACGTAAAAGCACTCGTTCATTTCACAAACACATTTAAATTCATTCTAAAGGTTGGTTAAAAACAATGTATGGTAACCCTCATTTATGGTTTGGAAACAAAAACCATTTTAACGCAGCAGAATGATGTTAAAAACAAAATAAATAAATAGAAGAATCGCTTTAGAGACGTATTGTCTCCTTTGTGTCTCAGGGCCGGGGCTTCAGGTGTGATGACCTATGGTCAGATCACCTGTGTTGCCAGGGAGATGGTGATGCAACGGCAGGTGAGTGAGAGCAGTGAAGCAGGAAGTCCCACCTCCTCCTGATCCTGCAGTCTCACCCCGGTCTTCACCACACCCTGGGGAGGGGAGGACCAAACCAACTACTAACGCTAGGTGACGGGAAAATCTCCCGTTTACCATTTTTATTATTATTTTTTGTATTATTCACCGTAGTAAAGGCTGCTTTACCCTTTGGTTTTTGTAACATTGTATTTTTTAACCATCCCCAAAAAAAACAAACAAAAAAAAACTTGAAGACGCTTTGCTTTATAAAACAGATGAGGTCTTTTTTTTGTAACATTTGAACTGTTCTGTGTTTGTAATACTGTGGTGGACACCTCCACATGCTTCTGTTTAACCTCTTTTTTTTAACTTTGTCACCCTGTGATTGCAAAATGGAATAAAGTAGATTCATGCAGCCTAATGCTTTGTTGTGTGTTGACTGTTTACTGAGCTAATACTGCGTACATTAATGTTGACGTCAGTCAGACGTCAACTGTTATCCTGAAAGAGCTGAAGTTCATCAGAGAAGACTGGACTTTATTTTAATATACTTGAAATAAAAAAAAAAAACGCTTTGCTTTTACATGTATAACAACGTCACTGGAAAAGTTGTAAGTTTACGACAAAATTCACAACAAAGCAATACATTTACAACATTAAAAACCTTAATGTATTTTTGGAAGAGACAAACGTTAATTTCATCTTCTTCATGTAGTTCACAAGCCTCACATCGTATCAGGACTGAAAAGTTTGTCTTTACAGAGAAAACTCGGAACTGGATGCTACGTGTGTTTGGACTAAATCGTAAACCTTTGTCATTCACCAAGATAAACATCATTTTGATGGTAAGTGGTTTAGACGAGGTTTTCCTGACACTTGGACACAGTACGACACCACGGGATGACACATTCATACAAATATCACGACTTTATTCATATAAATCTACAGCTTTTCTCTAGTAAAATT